TAAATAATATTTTATTCATATTTTTTGGTATTTAACATTTATTTTTTTCAGAAATCATATTCGGACCGAACCCGGTCCGAATATTATTGGCGCGTCTACGCTACGGACTCCCGCCAGAAATATTTTTTGGTATTTAATATTTATTTTTTCAGAAAAAATATTCGGACCGAAAACGGTCCAAATATTATTGGCGCGTCTATACTGTTGAGTCCCGCCAGAACTATTTTTTGGTATTTAATATTTATTTTTTTCAGAAAATACTATTCGGACCGAAAACGGTCTGAATATCATTGGCGCGTTTGTACTGTGGCGTCCACCGAAAATATACGGACCGATACCGGTCCGAATATGTTCATTAATATATCCAAACCGATATCGGTCCGTATATTTTTGTGTTCAGACCGACACTATTCGGTCCGTATATGATCGGTCCGTATACGTCATTTTTCTAGTAGTGTTAGAGGTCTTCCAAGATATCTTCATCATGTTTGCATCTATCTTCACTGCCACTGGATTCCTCACTCAATAGTGATTGCTAGTCTTGAATTGTACGCTTTTTACCAAACACCAATTGCAACTCTTGAATTGTAGCCTTTTTAGAAAGTCTCGCTCCCATGGCTTCTTCTTTGTCTTTAAGCATACCCAAATTACAAATCTCTAATTTTCCCTTGAGTTGGTTTAAACATCTCAATTCTTCAATTTGATGTCCCTTCTGTTGTCCCACAACAAATAACTGTAATGTTTTCAAACAAGTTAGTCTACCAATCCCTGCCAGCATAAGCTCCCACTGATTGAAATAAATGTGTCTCAAATTGACTAAATCCCATATTCCCTCCAAAGGCCTTTCGAGTCGCCAACAATACATAAATCTAAATGTCTACAAATGATAGAACTTGGTGATGAATTTGGGAAGTTCTTTGATTTTAGTTTTTGAAATATCCAAGAACCTTATATGCTTCATTTTCCCCAAAAAGGCTGGCAACTCATCAATATTAGCACCACAGAAACTAAGAGCCCTCACCTTTCTCAAGTTCATTGACATAATGTGAAAGACATCAACTTGTGAAAAGAAAGTGTGCAATTTTTCAGTGGCATCCCCAAATCTTGTTGTTGCTGTACCCTTATCAGAAATGACATTTAAATGTCGAATGTCTGCAGGAATATTCCTTCCGCTACCATCTTCCAAAATCAAAGTTTGGGACTTTGAAACAAATTGTGCAAGATCATGAACTAAATCATGCATTTTGCAAGCAATAATGCTCCCATAAGAATCTCTTTTAGCATCTTGAAATAAAGAATATGATGATAATGCATTGAAATACCTATCACCAATATCCTCCATCTCCATGTATCTTTCACTAAGAGGCTGAAGAAATCCTTCAGCCATCTAGAGCTGTATTAACATCTCCTTTTCCATGACATAATCTTTAGGGAAAATAGAGCAGAAAGCAAAACGTTGTTTCAAAACAGGTGTTGGCAAGCAATTGAAACTCAATTGTAGCATAGGTAAAACTCCATTAGCTTCTTCTACTAAACCCCATTCTTCACTATTATCTTTAATTGATAACCAGTCATCCTTTTTCCTATTATTGCACAAACTCCCTCCAATAACATTTGCAACTAATACTAAACCTCTACATTTGCTACCAATATCCCTTCCAATCCTCTCCAGTTCTGGACTTAATGATGAGCTAACCAATGCTCTTTGCTTGATTATGGACCAACAATCCTCATCTGTTAGCTTCTCAAGATGATGCTTGTGCTTAGAAAGTGTTCCCATTGTGGAAGCTACATTTTCACTTCGAGTTGTGACAAGAACCCTAATCCTAATATTATTACCTATTCCTAACAAACTGCTCCTTAAGGATTCCCATTTATGCCTATCTTCATTCCATACATCATCTAATATGAGAAGATAATTTTGCTCTCTCAACTTTTCTTGTAGAGTTTGAACTACAATATTTTGACTTGTTAAATCCACAAAATTATCATCTTTATTAATAACATATTTCACCATCTCTACTAAAATCTGTTTCACTTCAAAATTTTCAGAAAGACAAACCCACATTATTTTGAAAAAAATTTTCTTTATCTGTTCATTGTTGCACACTAGCTTTGCCATAGTAGTTTTGCCTATACCTCCCATCCCCACTATTGATACAACAGGGAGAGGTTGATTATTATTTGATTCAATCAATGATTTAATTACTTCTATGGCCTTATCTTTTCTTCCTACAATTTTTGAGGGATCACCAACTAAGGAATCTGTTTGTTGGATTTCTATATGTTTAGGAAGCTTGTTTGCAAGTCTATATTGTAGCCCTAACCCAGTGGCCCAAACATTAAGGTCAGCTGGGTCTAAATTTAAATTCTTAATCTTGTTAGCTATCTTAAAGCGAAAAGCTAAAGGATTGGAAAGAGTAAAGAAATAGCTGACCTTTTTCCACATTTGTTTTCTAGCTACCTTGTACCTTAGATGTTCATATGCCATCTCATCTACGACATTGTCAACTTCATCAACTATATTTCCAAGCTCCTTAAGCCAATCCTGCAGATCAAAGTGACTTGTCACCTCCTTCTGCTCAGCATCTTGCAGCACACCCCTTAGCATTCTCAGCACCACACGGAACTTCTTGAGCTCTTGCTTGAATCCCACTGCTAAGTTGAGTTGCTCGATAGTAACTGAAATCACCTTGGATGTTGTGACATCCACAAGAGGACCAAGAATAAGATCAGCCATATTCGCTTCAGTAGCTTGGAAGAGAGAAATGTTTGGAGATTGAACAGCAAAAAAGAGGGGAGAATAACGTGAAGGGGGTTAAGAATAGCTACAGGCAACGTTTATACATGTGGACAATAAAAGGTGACGGTTAAAGATTGGTGCTTGTCCAACGAACGAAGAAAAAGATGAAAGGGATGCGTGATGAGGAGGAAAAGATAAAGGATTGCCCTATATTTATCTTTCTTAAAACACAAGTATTCTTCTCCTCCATTGTTGTTAGTTAATCAGTTAATGCAACATTCCTTTATGGTAGCATCTTAGATTTCTTTGGACTAAATATATAATAATACATAGCATACTTCCTCTTCTAAGAAAAGAATAGTCTTTGTTCCAATCAAATAAGTCGGAATGATCAGGGAAGAGGAAGAAAAAAAAAAAAGGGTTCCTCTTTCCTCTTTCGCGTAAATTTCTCTCTTTACGTTTTGTAGATACCAGATTTTTCCAAATTCAAAGTGGCTTCTTTTCTTCTTTGCCGCGACTTACTACACCATCTTCTGTCATCATTTTCCTGTAATTTAGCTTGGGCCAGATTTACTGTCTGGAATTGGGCCTGTTTAAATGGAGAAACATGAGGTTTCGGCTTTTTGGGTTGAGCACTTAAGCCCAATTTTGCTTTTCAAAATCAAACCATTTTAAAGCCAGATTGATTTTCCCCCTTCCTAATTAGGTTTCTTTGGTTTGAGAATCATTTTGTTTAGAAAGTTTTTATTGAAAAGTAATTAAAAAATATTATATATAAAGTTATTAAGTTTGATAATAAAGTTTTATTAAAATTTTGTTAGATTATTAATTTTGTTTTATTTGGTAAAAAATTGATATAAGAAAAGTTAATAAAATAGAGTT